GGCTCGCAGCAGGCTCCGGTGGGGCTGGAGGGGCTACAGCCACTCCAGATTTCACCACAGCTCCACTCCCAGCCCTGTGGCACCACCTGGCACAGCCCCAGCTGAACACCCCATCTCCACCCATGTGCCGGGAAAAGTTGAGGCTACAGCGGGCAGCAGCATGTGGGTGGCAGCGGAGCTGTGACAAAATTTGGGGTGGCTGCACCTTCCTCCCAGCACTGCCGGAGCCTGCTCTTGAGCCCAACCCCTGGCAAGAAAAGCCCAGAGCAGTGCCGGCTCCGCCCTGCAGCTGCTGCTGGCCCTGCGCCATGCAGATCCAGGGGCACACCCCCACCCCCTCATCTTCCCTGGGTGCAAGCAGCAGTGGGAGCTGCCCCCACCCCACAAGCTGCGCCTCTGGCCCTCCCGCCCCTGCCCCCTCCCTCGCCTCGGGGGGGCTGTTGATCTGCACCCCCAACGTCCCTTTCCTCCCCTTCCAACTTAACAGCTGGAGGCAGCTCTCCATGCTTCTGGCTCTGCTCCGTGCTCTGCTACAGCTGCATGCAGCACAGGCATCCATCAGCCCCATCAGGCCGATATAGACAATTTTCTTTACATCAGTACTGATCCAGTTTCAAACTGATGGATCGGTGCACTTCTATCTGTAAGACTGGAGTCCATAATTGTACAATAGTTGAATTCAAAAGTGATTGTCCTAGTTTTATCTCTCAAAAAAAACGAATTAAGAATGAGTCTACTCTAATGCTGAATCCCTTTTTGTTCCTGTAAGTGCACGTATTTTAAGTATATACTTACATGTACTATTATGATGGACATTAGTGTTCATTTTGACACGTCTATAGACCTAAAGCATACAGGCTGTAACAGCATTTACTCTAACAATATTTGCATTAAAATGCACAGGTTAGAAGGTTGCTTAGGTATAATATCCAGAAATTTGAAGGAATATTCTCTAACATACTAGCAAATTCCCTGTCAAGAATGACTGGGGGGTCAGGCAGGGACAGAGCCCTACTGCTCCAGGTCCCACCCTGCTCAACTACTGCCCCCTCCCCACCCCACCCCACCCCTGCCACTCCAGGTCCAGCCCTGCCCCCCCCTGCCACTCCATGTCCACTTGGCCCGCATCTGCCTCCCTGCCTGCCTGCCTGCCACCCCCCCCTCCCTGCCAGCTCTTCTGGGGGGCAGTGGGGCCAGGCAGTAGCCACCATGATCCCCTCCCTTCGCCCTCAGTCAGGGAGGCAGGGAGATGCAAACTTCCCTGGCAACTTGGGCACATGCAGCCTGGGCCGCCCAACCAATCACCACCCACCGCTCAGCAGTGCATGCACAGTTGCCCAAAAGTGTTGTGGACAGACAGACTAAGCCTTTTGTTATTAGATTGGCAGTAAAGCAACAAAAATGACTTGCTGGTTAATCACAATTTTTGGGGGTTGTTGCAGTCATTACTAGCACGCTTAAGATCTCAGAATTGAAAGTTGATCTTTTCAGTCCCACAAGCTGGTGCTAGGGGCTGGCATCCCAGTTGCCCTCCCATTTTAGTTACACTACTGCTTATTTTTCATCTGGCATTTTTATATGTATGTTCAAAGATGTGATATGCAAAACATAGACGTTCCATAAAACATTTCCAGTTTCTACCAATTGTCATCTTCCTTCATTAATACTTAGATCTTTCTGCATATGTGAAAAGAACACCATTTAGAATGACATTGGAATCTTACTCGGGGTGCATGAATCCTCTCCATCATCAGTTTAAGCATTTTAGAGATGTGTCTTTCACTTTTAGGGAAGTTTGTCAGCTTGGAGGAAGGATTATCTTTGAGTTACAGCATTAAGGATCAGGAGCTGAGTAATATCTCTCCATGATTAATCCTGGAAGAGTCACTTTATGTCTGTTCCTCTCTAAGTGGGGAGATTGTGTTTTACCTACCATATATGTTGACTGTTGATGCTTAATTTATTAATGGCTGTAAAGTGTAGCAAGATCTGAGTAAAAAGTAATCGCAAGGAGCCAAATATTTTTTTCCAAAATTAAAGCTACAGAAAAGTTTAGTTATTGTTATGCTTTCAGCTCTTGGGCTTCATGCATATTAACTCTGAAAATTTTTGAACATCGGGGGTGGGGTTTGAGCAGCAGTTTTGTTTTCATTTTTTAATAATGGGTATTTTTGTTTAATATCTGTTGTTTCAGTCAGTGCTAGATGAGATGATGGTGGAACAAACAGACTTAGTTCGCTTGCGAATGGTCAGAATGTCCAATGTACCTGACACCCTCTACATGGTGAACAATGCAGTGCCACAGTGCTGTCATATGATTAGCCACCAGCAAATCAGCAGTAATCAGTCCAGTCCTCCTTCAGTTATAGCTAATGAAACCCCAGGTAAGTCTTCTTGATTAAACTGTGATAAAGAATTTCCTGTCTTGGGAGTTTTTGTTAGATGACTCCTAAATTTCTTGTTGGCCACAGTAGTCTGTTATGCATGACTGGTAGTCTGTTTCATATAACAGATTACCAGGGGTTCTCAGTTTTGAATGGCTCCAAGGCATATTAAGTACTAGATACCTGAATAACTATAAAGAGCTGGAGCTATGCTAGAAGGGTACTAGTAGCCAGGGCAGAAGCACTTATAACTATAGTCTCTCACTGGTACAATAAATATTTTTTAAAATTCTCTGTAATTGGTTTCTACATTCAAAGCATTTACCCACTACAGAAAAATCAGTTCAAGGGTTAATCACATAACAGTGCTCTGTGCCAAATTTAGACTCTAGGGAACTGCCAAAGCAAAAACATTCCCAAAAGTTCCCCTCAACTGAAAATGTTTGCCTACCACTCTTAGAAAAGTCAGCCATAGAAGCAATGAGAGCATCTCACCCAGTCTGAAATTCCATGCTAGCTGTGTTGGTAATTCTGTTGGCAAAAATCTTTGAGACCTATAATTTATTCATAAAAAAGAAGAAACCAACCCAAACCCCCCCCCCCCCCCCCCCGGGGCCCCACTTTTAAGACCCGGGTTTTTATTCATAAAAAAGAAGAAACCAACCCAACCCCCCCCCCCAGCCAGCGAGGTCAGCATTTCAAGTACAGGTGTTCTTTGCTGGTAATGGCTCCCTTCACTTACCGTTATATTGAAGGGAGTGTTCTGGCAGCTGTGTATGAACAAAAATATCACTAGAGTTCAACCAAATAAATTTGGGATAGACGCAAATATCAGCAAACTGCACGTTGATGCAGGAGCCTATTCCTGGAGCACAAATGACAGAAAAGAACTGGCCACCATAGTAATCAAGCAATGACCATCCTGTGCTTTGTTGACTGGTGCCTTGGAGCATATGATTTTTGTCTAGTTATATTCTCCGCCTCGCCACCTCCCCCTCCACTCGCTGCCCCCGCCCCCCCTTGTCTAGTGTCCTCTGACATCTGTACTTCAAGGACATTTGTATTGTGTCAGCAAAATGACTTGTTCTCATTACAACCTTATTCTGAGGCTGTTTATGAACCTTTCCTAAGCTCTGCCTGCAATATTGAGATTAGGTCCAGTAGATTGGGGCTGCTTTGGACCTGTTCAGGTTTTAGTCTGAATCAAATAATGAAAGAGCTGAACTTGGCCTGTGAACTGCTGAATGTGTAAAAATATTGTTCCTTTATACTTTCGCAATGTCTGCCTTCCAGATAAAAATACCATATATAATACCATATATAGTATTCTAGATTGTTTCTGTATCAAAAATTGCTCCGAATTCACGTTAGAGTTGGTAACTAACCTTTTGAAAAGAAGGCCGATTCATTTTACCCCGAAATCCAACCTTTTCATAGTGTTAGTACCGGTGCTAGTATATTGAGTACTGACATAATGAAATGTAGCAGAATATCTGAATGTTGAGTATTGGCATAATAAAATGTAGTAGAGAGGCTGGTTTGGGACTCTTGAAAGACTGATAGAGCAGGTCATTTTTAATGTATTGGGCCATGTGCTAGAAATAAAGAATTTGGGTAAAATGGTGCAAACCTTCTAAAATATGCACTATTGTGGCCTTTCTCAAATTGGCAGCAATTGCTTGATCACAATTATGTGGCATGGTATTTGTTTCATCTCTGACATGTAGATGCCCTTCACGCTGTTCTTGCAGTCTGGTCATGACAATATTTTGCCCTTGTATATTTGTTAACAGACTTGATCCCAGTAGTGCATTTGTGTGTGCTTTTTCTCAGATATGTACATATTTTACTGTGGTCTTTCTGTCCCTGGGAAAAAGAGCCATTGCCAGACAGCAGCATAAATGTTAGATGAGAGCGTTGTGCAACAGGATAAATAAATACCTCAAATTATATATAATTTCCTTTTGGAAAGGTTTTTAATAATTTCAAGATGACTGCATAAAAGAGTTTAATTTTCACAGGTTTGTGTTGGCTTAAAACTCATGTAATTTTTTAAATACATTTTCTGTAGTTATTATTGATAATACATTCTTACAATCCCAAAAGTCTACCAAAAGCATAAAGTATATGCCAAGAAAATCAATGCATCTAAAAGGAACATGCAATTACTGAGATTTAAGATACCCTGGCCAACCAAATCATAAAATTCCTGCATCATAAGGAGTTTACAAAGAATACTGTATTTGTGGCTGACTTTTACAGAAATCAGAAAAATGGTATGCATCTCTACAACTAGCATGTTCTACCCTTTATCCCATAATGACGTTCCTAAGATTCTAACCATAAACATGCAAGTCAAACTACTGTTGGCTTAATGCCAGTCAACTTTAGAAGCACAGTCAGCCTGACGGTAATCCTAAAAGTGTAACTGAAACTAGTCACTGCAGTAGATTTCATAGTCTTTCTTAGACTGTTTAAGAAATAGTCCTGTCCATTGTTTTCACGTCTTTCAGTCCCCAGCCTACTTGTTGTTAAAGAGATGATCAAACGGCTCCAGGAGCTCCGTCATACTGAGCAGGTGCAGAGGGCATATGCACTCAATTGTGGAGAAGGTGCCACAGTCAGTTATGAGATTCAGATTCGTGTCCTGCGAGAGTTCGGACTTCCGGATTCGGCTGCTGAACTTCTGCAGGTATGAAAATCCTCTTGGGTAAGACCACCACCCCCCCACCCCCCCCCTTGATTTTACAACTATGCTGTTTTTAAGAGACTTGACATGAGTCTTGGGAAACTGCATGTTTAACCTATGAGAAAAAAGAAGCATTAAGTGTGAGTGTATGCACACTTAAAAAGTAAATGCAGCACCCCTCCCCTGCTTTTGCATCCATACACAAACTAGGCATTAATAAAAATCTCTTTGTTGAAAGTGCAAGAAAATGGATATGTTAAAATGCGGTACTCCATATTGCAAAATGGGTTTGGAAATTGATTTTTTTTTATTAGTGAGAGACCTCCTGTGTATGTGTCAATTAGAACTGCACCAATATATTGGTCCATATCTTATCAGCACCGATAAAAGGAAAATTGATGTTATTGGCAGTCAGCTTTTTTGTCTGATGTGACTAATAATGTCGCCAATAAATACCATGTTCATGGGTGCAGCAGCAGCAGGTACACAGCCAGCCTGGCAGCTTGGAAGGCAGTGTTTGGCTGGTAAGTCTGTTGGTGGGGTTGGGGGAGGGGGGGTGCCATATCGAGGCCCCCCACAGTGCGGGAGGTAGTGGGGCAGGGCCAGGCTCTGCCTAGCTGGGGCAGGGTGTGGGACAGAGCCCCAAGTGGCTCGTCCGGGGGTGGAGGGGGTGGGGGTGGCGGCTCCTGCTGCTGTGTGCACCCCCTAGGGAGGCATGGGGGGGTGTGCCCCCTGGATCTGTGCATGGGGTGAGGGCAGGCTGCTGCTGCAGACTGGAGCCAGGGGCAGTGCTGGGCTCTTCCTGGCTGGGTGGGGGGTTGGGCAGGGGCTGCGCTTTGGGCAGGTAGTGAGAGTACTGGAAAAGGGGATTGGTGGGGCTCCAGTGAATTTTGGGATGGCTGTAGCCCACCCCATAGCCTCCCCTCCCAGTGCTGTCGCCACCCACCCTGAGTGCAGCCCCAGTCCAACCCCCTGCTGGGAAGAACCCGGCACCGTCCCTGACTCCAGCCCGCAGCGAAAACCCACCCTTGCCCCATACACAGATCTGGGGGGCAGACGTCCCCCGTGCATTCCTGGGGGGTGTGCGCAGTGGCTGGAGCCTCCCCACACCCTGCCCTGCTGCACCGCAACTGGGCAACATCTGCCCCTGCCCCACTTCCTCCCTCACGGTAGGTGCCTGTATGCCTCACCTATACCCCCCCTCCCCTCCCCTCCCTCCAACAGACTTACCAGCTGAACACTGCTCTCCAAGCTGCTGAGCTTGCGTATCGGCAATTGGACTGGTATCGGCTGATAGCTTGTTAATAATCAGCCATTGGTATCGGCCCAAAAAATCTTTATCGGTTTACCCCTAATATCAGTATTTGAAAAAGGTTAAACTTTATTTCCAATATCTATCAACAGTGACATTGATTGGAAAGGCTAGAAAGAAAAGAAACAGAAGTAACGTTAACACTTCCTTTTTGAAAAAGGTTGTGTAATATAGAGTGGAATTGTCCAGTAGCAAATCCCATTTACATTGGTGGCATATTATTAATTTATAAATATATAATACAGAAATATTAATGACGTCTTCTATCAAGTTCTCTGCACCTCTGACCTTCAAATATTCTCATTAGGGAAAATGCTGGATCTCGGATTTTGAAGTTGACAGGGATGTGAGTGATTGTCTTAATATGCTACGGGAGCCCCTCTAGGGAGCATCAGGGGATACTTTTCAAATAACACAAGTGTTTTATCTTTCTGTCACTTAAAATGTAACAACACTAAAGAGTTCAGCCTGTCCTACACTTGAGCTGATTGATTGAAATGCTACAAAACCAGTGTGTCCAGGTTTGACTTTACTGAATGAAAGCTGTATCGGAAATCAAACGAATGTTTGCAATGTTTTGTCTGTGGCCGCTTGGAAAAGAGCTGTTGTCATGCGGTACCTATATTGTACAGAGCATTCAAGCATGAATAAGGACAGTCACTGCTTATTATTTATTATTTGCTTTTTGTCGCTTGTTCTTTCTGCTCCATATGATAGAGTTTTTAAACTGTGCAGTGTAACTTAATTGACTCCTCATAAATAGTAGCGAATAGTCAGCAAGTGAAAATTCAGGTTGGCTCAAAAATAAGTCGGGAGACAAAAAAAAGCTAAAAAGCAGATGTAGAACTAGTGAGATGCTGATGTTAGTCTCTAGATTGCAAGTCTGTCCTGGTCAGTTGAATAGGATATCTGAGAAGAATGCTTTTTGGTTTTCTAGCTCCTGATTTTTTGCTTTCCCTTGCAGAATCCTCACAAGTTCTTTCCTGATGAGCGGTTTGGGGACGAAAGCCCACTTTTGACAGTGAGACAGTCTGGACGATGTCGAGTCAACAGCACTCCCACTGCAGAAACAGTGTTTACAGAAATAGACTCTTTTGTGGCCTTCCATCCACCATTGCCCCCTCCTCCACCTCCCTACCATCCACCAGCTACACCTATTCACAACCAGTTCAAAGTGGGCTGGAAACAAAGGGTGCCGAGTCAACATCCTTCACGTTCATTTTCTTATCCATGTAACCATTCACTCTTCCACTCCAGGACAGCTTCCAAAGCTGCTCCACCTGTCTACTTACCTGGTGTCAAAGCAGCACCACCTGATTGCACTAACACTACGGGATTGGGGAGGCAAACGGTAGCTGCAGCAGCAGCAGTAATGGCAGCAGAAAAGCAAGCAGTAAGTGCATCTCTCTGTCTGTCTGTCTCTGTCTGTCTCAAATTAATGTATTGAAAAGGGAAATTAAGGTGGAATTTAGCAGTGAAGTGGTTTGGCCTGGGAAAATTGGCAATGGAGATGGCTGTATTTTAAAGTGAATCTTCTATGTACTGCCCCTTCCATAAAGTACCTACAGATGTGTGGAGGATTAAGTCAGAATGGAAGGAGTAGAATTGGTAGACTGAGATGGTTGAGAACTCTGGACAGCTTCTTTTAATTAAATACGTGCTCTTTGTCTAGAAAGCTGCATGGGTCCAAGACAGAATTTCTGCTCAAAACTGAAGACGGAAAGAACCAGTGGTTTGGGATCTGGGAGACCAGGTTCACGTCCCTGCTCTGAGTAAGACAGAATAAGGATTTGAGCAGGCATCTGACATCCCAGATGAGTGCTCTCATCACCAGACATCTGTGTAGGAGCAGGGGCAGCGCTCTCTAACTTTTGTATAGGTTTTGCTTGAAATAACTTGGAAAGGTTTTGGTTTCATTTCATATTGGAACAGAAGCAAATGTCAGCCCTACTAGTAGGCTGGAGGGTTGAAGAAGTAGCTAGAGGTGGTGTTCTTGCTGTAAGGCTTCAGTGCTGAGCACTTTAGATCTGATGTAAAGAGACAGTCATTATGTAGAGAAAATCCATGGGGAGTTTGAATGCCTGAGGGGCAGTTTTAAATAGGATTCTAAAAGGAGTAAGCTGATGGAAAGTGATAGGAAAGGGCAAGATATATGCACATATAAAGGAGAGTATTTATGGATTAATATTTAAAAGCAAAGAAAATAGCCTCTAAGTTGATTAACTACAATAGAGTGGTTCTGTGTGTGTTTACTATGTTAAAAGTGCTACACAAAGGAACAGAAGTAGTTGGGTATAATGTAGTTAATGCAGCTGCATGCTGGATTTGAAAACTTCTGCCAGTAAAAGGTCCTAATGCAAAACACAGTTTCGTGTTTTTTTGTATACTGAGATTCTGCTGTTCTGATTGACTGGAGAATTCTGGACTGGCAGAAGTCATCACTCATTTCTCTTTAGCTCTTATTGTGAAATAAGCTATCTTGATGATGGCATGTTATATACTGTAAACGTGTGATGGGGATTATTTCCTATAATTTTTCTCATGGGATTGATTTGCCATCATTCATGTATGGCCAGCAGAAAAAAACATCTCACTTGTATCCCTGGGCAAAAAAATACTTCATCATATTGGTTGGCAGTATTGGATGGGAATATAGTAATTGGTAAAAGTACATTTTAAAAAGAAAAGGTTTTGGGCTAAAATTTGCTAATTATTGATTCTGTTATTCCTAACTCTCATCCGTATATCCAGTGTATAAGATATAGCTGTCTTCACCATATAAGAAGTCCCATTTAGGAAAAATATTCAGGGGCTTTCTTATGTCTTGATTTACAAAAGAATTCATTTTATATTACTTTAAACTTGCCATGTACATAATGCCATTGACACAGGGTAGCATTTGGAAGTATGCACAAAGCCATGAGGTTGTTAACTATAGTTATGTACTAGTAATTATAACTGCTTTAAAGCCATTCATTTATTTTAGCCTGGAGTATATATGCTGATGTATACTTCCTTTAAGTCAAATTGATATAAAGAAAAATCTTGAGTCTTCTCATTAAAATTAATGCCTAAAAGTTAAGTATGGTAGTTACCCTCCTGGATCAAACAAACTAGTGGCCCATCTCCTCCAGAATCAGTTTGAACAACGACCAGTACCAAATACTTCAGAGGAAGGTGCAGGAAACACAGTAAGACAGCTACAAAATAACCAACCCACAGGGGCATGCTTTTCTTACCCCTGTGGTTTTGGGGTGGTTCTGCATCCTAAAGAGTAAGGGAACTTTTTGCAGTTTATTCATTCCTAGCATAACTCTGTAAGTTCTCATCCAAGTGTGGCAATGTGTTCCAAAATGTATGTTTATTGTATAATTCTCCAATATTTTCTGTGTCCTTATTCTTGTATTTGAAAAGTTCTGGGCTTTATATGGTCTATTTTCACTTTATTTCATTACTTGGGAAATTTTTACTTGTTTCTGGCTAGTCATTTCCTCTCTAATGTAAACAATTTAAATCTTTCAAATTTTTCTTTATGGAGGTTTTTTCCGTGTTTCTATTTTGCACCTTGTCTCTGGCTCCTGTTTGTTTCTGCTATCACTTCTTGTGATTGTATGGCCATACATGAGCACTGTGTTTCAGGTGAGGGCATAGTGCCCTAATACTTCCAACTTTTTCTGTCCTTGGATTGCTAGCTGCATTTAATATTTTATTTGTCATGTCATTACAACATGTTTAACCAGGGTATCTCATTGAGCTGGCCACAGGTACACTTGGTGGATGTTTTTGGTTTTGTGTGTTTCCCCTGAGTAGTTGCAGCTAATGTAGAAAGCTAGAGGCATCTTGTAATTAAAATGGAATGCTGTTGACTTTAAATACCATTTTGTAGCATTTTACTTTGTTTTATCTGGAAGATAGAAGGAGGGTGTGTGGATGGATCTAGCCTCTGGCTAGGTCTCACTTGAGGTGTTGGGATGCTCCCAGGTCCCTGCTGCCCCCTCCTCCTTCCTTCACACCCATTAGTGGGAACCCTGCCCCTATCAGACCCAGAATTGGACTTACCCCCATATGCCTGCTGCAAACTCTCTAGGGACCCTGGGAAATAATTTTTCCTGGAAGATTAATTGATATGCGTTTGGGATCCTGTGAATTACATACAAGGAAAGAAAATTCAGCACTACAACTTCTACAGTTTAGCCATATTGCACATGTACTATATGTATGTGTGTAAATATAAATAAAATATAAAACCATAAATGTAATTAATCTGCATTTAGAAGATATGAAGTGTATGCAAAGGGTTGGTTACACTTGTTCTGAATCTGAAGGACCAGGTGTATCAATTTCTGGCTCCCCCCTCTATTTTCTCAGCCACAGTATTGTCTTAATGTAGCATTACTCATTGAATATGCTTCTGATATAAATTAATATCTTGTTTAATATTCACTCTTAACGTTCATTGTTGAGCAGTCTACATTTACATGTACAATACATTTTATATTAAATATGAAATACAGTGCTGTGCACCTATTGAAATAATAACCTCCCATTTCATGAGGAATTGGGGAAGAGGAATTGACACTTTGCTTTCACAGTGGACAAGGACTGTTCTGTAATAACTATATTGGTTACATTACCCCATGCAACGTCTCAATTTGTGTGACCTTTTCCTTTACTATTAAAGTTTTTCCATAGGTAACATGCAGAGTTGGATATTTTCAGAGTTGCTTTTCAGAGCTAATTGAATGGAATAACTTGCTTTTTATAGCTGAATAGTGGGGGAAGTGTGTAGAATAAAGCACAGGTGCACCCTCTTGATTTGAAAAATCAACTGCTGACTGTACTGGAGCAGCTCCAGCCAGTCTGCCCTAATTGGGAAAGTGTCTCACCTGAAATGACATGTGCTCTTAATCTAAGGAAGTTACTTGTTAAGGCTGTTGCTTCCTGAAGGGGATCAGGAAGGAGAAGTGTTATCACCACCAATTACAGAAAGTGATGCTGTGGATTAAATTCAGTACAGATTGAAAAATATAGCAAAATTCAAATGGACTGATTTTGTTTTTTCCTTTCTTACTTTCTTTTCCAGTGCACTCAGCCCATGTTAAATGAACTGATGCCCGATATTGCTATGGGTGTGTCAGCAATGTCTCTGAAGGACAGAAGGCTGCCAGAACTTGCTGTTGACACAGAGCTAAGCCAGAGCGTTTCAGAGGTAGGACCAGGTCCAGCACCGCACATTTCCTGTATTCAGACCAGGCACATGCACAGTTCTCGAAAGAAACATGCAATAGAGCAAAAAATAGATGCTCGAGAAAATCAACAGGAGTATCCAGACTTCTATGATTTCTCTAATGCTGCATGCAGACCTTCCACTCCAGCACCTAGCAGACACACTCCTTCGCCTTCACAAGGCATGTATTTTGGTCCAGATTTGTATAGCCACAGCAAGGCATCACCAAGTGGCTTAAAGTCAGCCTACCTACCCTCCCAGATATCTCCAAAAAAACAAGAGGATTCCAGGAGAGAATATGTGCTCTCCCAAGATGGGCATCAACACAGACAAAAGAATGAGCCAATACACCTCGATGTCTTAGAGCAACCTCCCCAGCGATTGCACTTGGCATTGGCTGCCCAGGAAAATGCTGGTAATGGCCCAGTTCACATCAGGGGAAGAACGAAAATGGAAACTGACTTAACATATGGGCTAACCTCTAACAGACCTTCACTCTCTGCATACACCTCTGAGATGCAAGAAGAGCGAGCTGGTAGGAGACTGGCAGATGATGAGCCTCTGGAACATGGAGCACAGAGAAATACTGATTTGGAAAGGGAAGAGGCAGTAAGCAGAGGAAGGAGGTCTCCAAGCAAACCAGACTTCCTGTACAAAAAATCTGCCCTCTGAGAGCAACCTCCACTATTTCTCTGTTCCTAAGAGTTGTAAACCACCCCATTCTTTCCAACTTTTGGCTGGATTTTTTTCAGCCAAATTCATGAATACTAGCACATAATTGATTTTTGTTTTTCTTTTAATACGGTCTTTGCTTTATTAGAGAGAGCATGCTATCAGTTTATTTTGGATGCTGCTTCTGGGTTTATTTTGTGATTTGAGCAAATTTTTAATTAAGCCTCCTTTTAAAAAAAAAAAACAACAAAAAAACTAGCTGGCACTTTTTTTTACAGTTGGGTAGCCTTTTGCACCTGTATATTTTATTTTATTTGTATTAGTTTTGTACTAATACGTTAAACTTCATTGTTACATTTAAAGGACTGTATTTTCATACTTTTGCATTTTACCTTTCGCCTACCAGTTCCCCATGTGCATTTGGTTGCACACTATGAAATGTATTTTCTTATGAGATAGTACCAATGTGTTTATTTTTGAATTATAGGAATTCCAAAGAACAGCACATCAAAATACTACATTTTAAGTAAGATTGTTTTAGGTCTGAAATCTTCCTGGTCTGTCACTACTACAAAAATCCAGTCTCGTACTGTTCTGTTGAACAAGTTAGCTGGTGTGTTTACTCCTCCTGAGATACAAAGTCCTCTCAAACACTTATCGTTGTGATATTCAAAAGAGCCTAAGGAAACAGTTGGGTGTTGACTGCTTACTTTCCAAGGGCTCCTTTTGAAAATCTTGGCTCGTGTATTCTGGTTCAGTTGTGAATGTGGAGAACTTCTTGGTCACTGAGAAGCAGTTAAGTAGACTAGAATTACTGATTTGCTCATAGTGGAAGACGACCTAGAAATACTTCAAATTGATAGCAGTATTGAGTTCTGCTCATCCGGATACCCTTGTGCTTGAGTGTGTGAAGATCAGAATTCAGGATTCGTTCCAAATCCTAAAGCTTCAGGAAGAACAGGCTTAGCATATGATGTTGTTGTCTAAACTGTTAACTTGTTCAACTGAGAGGGCTGTCTCCCTTGTAGAGATGCTGAGGGGACTGTTCATTGCCTTGCTTTGTTCCCGCCTGTGGTAAAAACAAAGGGCTTCACTTTTAGTGACGTCATTTAGTGTTTCTTAACACATTTTAAGTGTCTCAAATTGCATAATGTAAATCATTCTGTTCTTGTGAACAAAATCATGGAGTGGAGAAGTAACTACTTTATCTTTATTTATAGCTTTAGCATTTTTAAAATACACTTCTATCATCACTTTTTTTTAAGCACATGGTGATGAGACTGACTAATATGAACACAGAGAAAAGGATAGTGATTGTGTTCTTTGTCTTTGTGCTGGGATTAAACATTTATAAGGATATATAGTGATAGTCATTCAAAAGTAAATGCTTGTCAATAGTTATGATACCATTATTTGCTATTCTGGGTGTAGCAAAAGCTGTGGTACCTGATACCACAGTGTATCTGCTAATAAACACCAGATTTTTTTTTTTTTTTTTTTTTTTTAAAAACCCCCTCCCCAGGGAAGGGGTCCCCCCCCCCACCTTGGGCAAATTCAAGAGGAGGTTGGACGATCACCTGTCTGGGGTCTTGTGAACCCAGCATTCATTCCTGCCTGTGGCAGGGGGTCAGGCTAGATGATCTGTTCAGGTCCCTCCTGACCCTAGCTACTATGAAACTACTATAAGAATGATTTCTATAATGAAAAATCTTCCAGCAGTTGAGGACCTCAGTCCTAAGTGTGAGCTAAAGACTATTTTGATCTTAATACTGATTTGTTTTATTTGAGTTAAAGATGCTTAATACTATTTAAATATACATCTTGTTACAATATACTTTTTGTTTCAATTAAGACAGTCATTTCTACTACTAGTCATCTCCTCTGCTCAAAAACTCAAGGTTTCATTAAAGTACACAACGCCTGTGAGCTATAGCACCATATTGTTTAAACGTACTTGTAAGGCATTTCCAACCTATAAAGGTAGCATCTGGGTAAGCTAGATTCATGAGGTTTGTGATGCAAAAAAGCATGATGGTCTCCTGCACAGTATGAAAACTTTCGAAAGGTTCATTTAAGGTACAGCTGTGTTGGACTGTTATGATGAAATGCAATGGTGAGTGTCTGAATCGCACAGATTTGTTTTGGTTTTGGAGGCTTGGTTTTGTTTTATTTTTGTTGTTTTTTAAGTTGGCTTGGGCCCCAAGCAAAAATACGCACGTTGGCTCCAACCTCATCACTAATATGTTGCTTTCACAGAACAGTGTCAAACAATTGTCTTTATAACCTCAAAGAAGATGGGACTGTTTAGTACTGGTGTTTCAGGTTGGGGACTGAGGTTCATTGGTTTTGCTCTATGAAGAATCTAGCACAACACTATCTAACACTAGTCTGAGCTGTATCTGTTGGTCCCACAATCTCATAACTGCTAAAATCCCAATACAGTCATCTCGTTACTAAAAGTAAATGATTGTGCTTGTATCAGTTTATATTCAAAGGTCAATAACCAGTCACCATATACATCTTGGCTTTCAACAGAATATTTAACATTCTGTATAACTTTTACCTAAAACTCAGTAGACTTGCTTTCAGGGAAAACTGCTTTAGCAACTAATAGTGTTGTTTGGATGTGGCACTGTGTGCCTAAGTAGTAAATTGTGGCTAAAACCTAGGAATAGCAGCACCTTTCAGAAGCTTTCACAGTGGAACCGTGGAGGTGTGGCTGGTAAAGAAAACTCAGAAGTTTCAGGAGTATGTAGTTTGAAGGCATCCGTGAAATGTTTTGTTTGGTTTTTTTTGTAGTGGAGTAAGTCAGTGGAGAAAACTTTATGGCATTGCTGTCTGCTTTCTAATACATTCAGTTGTCATTTGCTGAGGTCTCCAATGGGCAATCCATGGTGTTGAGCAGTATTCCCAGGAAGAGATCATGTAAAATTCCAGATAGTCTGACTGGCTGATGAGCTGGTGGCACAGGATTTTAGTCATTTGTTCTCCTGTCCTACCTGCACTTTGCATTTTCATTTTGTCCTACATTTTAAAAGTACATTGCTACCTTCCCCTCTACCACACTCCTCATCAGTTTAGGCACCTCATCAGTGGGTGACTTTTGTGGCACTCCCAGGTAACAATGCAGTCTTTTGCAGATGCATGTAAGGAGGATTGTCATGTCTTTAGTGGACCTTCCTTGACAAGATGCTGGCATTAACCTTTTGTGATAGTGACGTTTTTTCCCCCAAAACTTAGGCAATATTAGACCAGACCCTGCACTGGCTTGCATGAGCACACACATTCAGATGAACTGAACTGCACCCATTTACTCCGATTTGCTGAATTGGGGGGCCAACATCTACATAGGTGAACACGATGCAAAACATGATGGAAAGAACAACTTAATGAAAGCTAATGTTCACTCCTTCCCTCCCCAAACCCCCCCCAAAAAGCAGCAAATTTGCAGCAATTTCATACACAAGACACAAGTTGCCATGCCCTCTGCTAGATCAGCCTTCATCCCCTAATATTTTTAGTTTATCTATAGCAGATAACCCTTATTTAAATGAATCACTTTCAGATTAGAGGGGAAATTCTAAGATCTCCTGTCCTTCTAAATAGTCTGAATTGGATAACTGCTTGCTTAGCAGTTTAGCATTCTGTTGGAAGCTAAAATCATCTGTTGATGCTTCTGTTTTACAAAAAGGATGCCTGTTTTGTAACTTAAGTGTTAATTTACTACAAAAGAGCAGTATAAAATGTATACAAAAGCAACACACAGGTTTTGGGGTCCCCCCCGTTTGTCGCAGTAGTTGTATATTATCTGTCTTGTGAGTTTGTGCTGGGGTTGGGTTGTTTTTAGTTTATTTTCTTCATCAATGTTAAAAGGCTGAAAATTAAAAGGCTCTGGCCCTTCCCATTGCAAGCCTTAGTTTTGGTCTTTGAATGTCTCAACCGCTTGCTTATGTTCTTTAGTTGTTTCTTTTGAAAGAATAGATGTGCTGTAGAAGCACCAGTATTTCTGCTATTTTGAACGCCCCTCTTTCTATGGTGGAGGTGATGCTGAGCTCTGCTGAAGGCAGGGAGCAGTTAAAAGATAACGGTTGGACTTGCAGTTTCTGTAATTATCTGTACTTCCGGAAGGTGGTGTTACCTTCTGCAATGTTACATTTTGTTTCTTGTCCTTGTGCTGTTACTGGTATAAAGTCAAGTGCCTTCAATGCTAAAGGCTCAGAAAATTTTCTTAAACTGACTTCATGTCCTATGCAAGTGTTTTTTCTACAACCTGCATAACCAGTACTTTGTAAAACTTGTTTACGCTTCAATTGTACATAGTGTTTTTTAAAATATAGTATTTTTATTTAGGTACCTCCAAACTTGAATTCTAGTCTTGTGTGACGCATTGTAAAACAATACATTTCTCTTTTGAGTACCATTACAGTTGTAAAAAGGTTTTCACTGGTTCTATTTTTCTACTGTTGCTGAGAAGCATGTAACACTGACTTTATCCTACATATAGTTGGCATTTCAAATAAATGGCTTATATAGAATGTGCTTGTATGAAGTGTCTTCTGTTTAGCCACACAAGACTACCCTATTCTACATCTGTCTGCTTGCTGCTAAATGAGAGTATTCCTGCTGTCCAATTGGTAGAATATAGCATATTCTAACTGCCTAAACCAGCTGACTGGCTCCCAAAGTTTTTATAATAAATTCAGTGAAAAAACAAAGGAGTAAGAGTTTGTCTTAAAAAAAAAAAAATATATGAAAGATCTTAGAAAACTAGTTTTATGGCTTCTTCCCTTCAAAACAGGATATTCACACAGGATGCCAGGAAAGATACAGATGCAATGCAAACTAGTGCAAAATTGGGAATTCAGAATTGAAATGATATTCAGAACTCTAGGTAAAGGCGATTATCTTTTATTAGTTGTTAAGTAGCCTATCAATAGATAGAATATGTATCTATAAATACCATGCTTAAGTAACCGTTTGGGAAGTGAGCTTTCCAGGCTTTAACAGAGTTGAGCATTATCTTAAGTCAGTAGTGGCAATTGAAGGCAATAGAATGACCCATTTTAGTAAGATTTAAGAAGCAGGACATGTAGTCCTTGATCTAGACAGTACTGAGCAGAACAGTTAGAAAAATATGCATTTAACTCAGAAATATGTTTTTGAGGAGCTTGCAGTTAACCTAGATTTAAGCTGTATTAAAATCAGCTTCATATAACCATGGTATTTGATTACTGCAGCCATAGTTTTGAAATATAAATGTGTGACCCAGGCTTTGAGTACACCAATAGTCAGATGTTGCACAATAACTGACTCTAGTTATTTTATGGCGTAGGTTAGTTTCCTTTTGCATATGATGCCATCCAGGCATTACCAACATTTTTTTCTCTTTTGGGAAATGTGGGGGCAGATTCCAAGATAACCAAAAAAAAATTAAACTGGGCTTACTGTTATTGTTAGCTTTATTTTTGGTGCTCCTCCAGCTTTTGTCATGAGGTAGTGGTCCAGATGCTTCCAAGGGAGGGTCTTCAAGATGAAAGCATTTCTGAAGCATGCTTTTTTTTGCATCTGTAATTACTTATTTAAACAGGTGGGTGCAGTGTGCACTTTCACTGATCATTTCACATAAAATGCACTTCATTACTTTAGATGGAGTGCCTCAAGAGCAAAAACAGTCGTGTTTTCAAGTACACTTGGTTATACATGACATTCAGAAGCAGAATGGTAGCTACTAGGGCTGTGTGAAATTTCGCCGCCAGCTTTGTTTCAACCTGTTTCGAAATGGAACAGATAGTCGAAACAGCCTCAAAGCAAAACGAGGCAAGTCAAAACATTTCGACGCTGTTTCGACATTTCAGGGAGATAGGTGCAGGAGGTTCGGGGAAACTTCACCCCAGAGTTTCGAAAGCAAAACTCATGTCGCGTGCATGTGTTAAGCTGGTCCCTGAGAGAACCATGATTGATTGTGTAACACAGTAGCTAGCTAGCACAAGCACCCATGTCACGAGTTTTGCCTGTCAGCAGCTAGCAGTGCAGGGCCCCAGAATCCCTGCCCCTATCTCCTTAACAGCTGGCAGGCTTCTTGCCCTCAGAAGGGGCTACCATTCCTGCAAGTTTCATCCAAATCAAGACAGAAATGACAAAGTTATAGGCTGTTTTGTCCTTCCCCATTATATCATATGGGTGAAATGTTGAAACAGGTTTGCTGTTTCAACAGAACAAACCAAAACAGCTGTTTCGAATCAAAACAAAATTTGAAATGAAATGCTGTTATGTCGAAATGCTGGTCAAAACAGAACGCTGCTGTTTCACACAGCCCTAGTACCTACTGTAACTGCCTTCAACTTGGGGTTGCAATCTACCTGCAGTTCTTCAGGAATCTGGCTTCTTGCAATAGTTTAATGATCTAATTCAGTGGTTTCCAAACTGCTCCATGGAACCCGGGGCTCTGCAGTCGGGGTTCCACAGCAATTGGGGTAGTGGCAGAGCCAGCCAGGATGTGGTGCACTGCCTTCGCTGGGCCAGGTCTC